ACCCTGCTAGAAATTTAATCTCCCTCTTAGAAAACAAGGGCAGCATTCACATTGCATAGCAACCAAATCTCTTGATCAGCTGAGTTGAGAATACAGTGCCCAGGTCAAAGATAATAGCCAACTGTGCCTCTTTGAATGTGAGTCACTCTCCACAGTCCTGGCAATAATTCAGTGTCATGGATCAGGCTCTTTAAAGGGTTTGCTACACCTCTTCTGAATCTCCCATTCCAGGATTCGACCCATTTTTTTTTTTTTCCATTTTTGTTAGTGTTCCAGATGACACAAATTTTAAAAATTTGGGTTTGTTCTGGTTTCACTTCATTGGCCATGACTGAACCATTTGACTGCTAACCAGAAAGCTGGCAGTTCAAATCCACCAGCCACTCCTCAGAAGAAAGATTAAGCAATCTATCTCCATAGTGATACCACCTCAGAAACCCAAGGAGGGGTTACTATGAGTTGGATCTGACTCAATGGCAATGAGTTTGTTTGAGTGAATTAGTTCAGACCCTGCATGCCACCCATACCAGGAGATAATCAGCTGTTATTCCAGGGCTTATAGAAAAAGAGTCACAGAAGGATGATACTTGTGTTTATAACCAATTTAAGGAGGTGTCATACTGTCTTAGAAACCTAAGGAAATTTCGCTATGAGTTGAATTGACTTGATGGCAGTGAGCTTTTTTTTTTTTTTTTCTTGCCAAGAGTCATGGGGGCTACCAAGAATGCTATTGTCTGAATGATTTCAGTTTGTGGATGTTAGGATGGAGCAAATATAAAGGTAGCCAGTCATTTACTTGGAGATACTTAGCGGAACAGGACCTTTAGGTATGGAGAGAAGTCCAGAGGTCAGACAATGTGGATCTGGGAAGGATAGTGTTGGATTAAAAATTTCACAAGTGGAATTTACAATAGCAAACAGATGGAAACAACCTAGGTGCCCATCACAGAAAAATGGATAACTTTGTGATACACACAATGGAATACTATGCAACACTAAAGAATAATGTAGAATCTTAAAACACTGCATAACATGGATGAAAAAGGAGGACATTATGCTGACTGAAATAAGCCAATCACAGAAGGACAAATATATATTAGTTCATTATTGTAAAAAATCAAGGAAAGGTTTATATAGGGAAGGAAACTTTGTTGGTTACTAGAGTGGGAAGGGAGGGGAGGGAACACTGAAAAAAAATGCATAGACCCATGTCACTTTAGTTCTATGTATTTAACTGTACATAAATTGTATTTCAATAAAATGTATTTTAAAAATATCTTGCAAGTGGAAACAACTTTAACACCTATCAACAGATAAATGGATAAGTAAAATGAATATACATACAATGGAATATTAGTCATAAAGAGAGAAGAAGTCCTGATGCATGCCAAAATGTGGATGAAACCTTGAAAACATGCTGAATGAAATAATTCAGCACAAAAGGGTGAAAACTGTATGATCACACTCACGTGAACTATCTAGAAGAGGCAAATGTATACAAACTAGGAATGGATGGGAGGGACAGGGAAAGAGGGAGTCATTGCTTAGGGGACACTGAGCTGCTGTTAAGGGTGATGGTAAAATTGGAAAACAGATAATGGTGATGGTTGTACAACATGATGAATACAGTGAATGTCACTAAATTGTACACATGAAGAATGTTGAAATGGCAAATGTTTTGTTATATATGTATTTACTGCAATTACAAAAAAAAAAAAAAAAGTCTTCCAAGTGGATAATGCCTACATGGAAATCAATGTAGATAGCAAAAGTCAAGATTCGGTGTCCAATGACATCACAGCTGATGGCCTTGGGTTGCTCTTGGGTGGAGATGGGGGAGGTGACACACTGATCTCTCCCAAAGCTCTGACTCCTGATTTGTCTCCATGTTGAATAAAGTAAAAAGAAGTGCAAAGAGAAAAAGGAGAGTTTGAGTCTCAGTAGTTGGCTGTTTGATTAAAGGCCAGTGATCTCATGTTTGCTCTGAATGGGGCAGGGTTGCACCCAGCAGCAGCTGATATGATACAGATACAAGAGGAATGAGATACCAGGACCTCGCATGACCAGAAATACAGCTTTTTAATCATGGGATTTAGTTGGAGGGGAGTTTACTTTTCTTTTTTTTATATTTTTTTTTTTTTTTTTAATTGTGATTTGGGTGAAGTTTACAGAGCAAATTCACTTTCCATACAGCAGTTCACACACACTTTGTCTCATGACATTGACTACAATTTACCACAATGCAACAGCTCCCCTCCCACTTACTGCCCATAGTTACCTCTTCCCTGTGTCCATGCCTCCATGCACTCCTGCCCCCTGAGCTGTCTCCCTGTGCCTAAACAGCCCTTCTTTCTTCCATGATTGTTCTCTCCAAGGAGTGTATCTACCTCAGGTAAATGTTCAACTCACATGCCTGTCTTTTGTTTTGCTGGAAACCACAGGTATGAGTTCAATTCCAGACCTGAAGGGCAGCTAGGAGCCATAGTCTCAGTGGTTCCACAGGCTCTAACAGACCAGCAAACCTGGTCCCCTTCTCCCCCCTTTTTTTTTCCAAATGCTTTTGAGTTTTGTTCCACATTGTTCTCCCTCTCTATCCAGGATCTCCTACATAGATACCCCTCTGAGTGGTTGACAGTGGTAGCCGGGCACCATCTAGTTCTTCTTGTCTCATAGTCATATAGGCTGAGGATCACATGGTATACCAGTTGCTTGGACCAATTGTTTCCATGAATCTTTGGTTTTCTTAATTCTTCTTTGCTTTGGATGAGGAGAGACCCATCATTGCATCCAGATGGCTTCTTGCAAACTTTTAAGATCCCCGTCACTACTCACCAAACTAGAAGGTGGAACAATGTTTTGTGTATCATGTTATGCCAATTGAGTTTGATTTCTCCTACAACTATGGTCCTGAGCTCACAGGTTCAACTACTCGCTCCCTCTGGGTAGCTGGCTATAATCAAGAAGTGACTACAATCTTGTCCCTTGTCAGCTCTACTATACACCTGGGAATTCTTAGAGAACATACAAATACACTTGTAGGACCATTGTCTGCCAACCCTATACATGGTCTTGGGTACAGGGAGTTTACTTTTCATTGTAGCAAAGGTTTCAGGTAACATTGTCAGAGGAATTTAGTCCTTAGGATTTTGTGCTTTGGCTGGTGGTTTGAATCCACCTGGAGGTGCCTTGGAAGAATGTCCTGGTGATCAACTTCAGACGCATCACCCACTAAAAACCTTATGGAGCACAATTCTACCCTGACATCTCTGGGATTGCCATCAGTTGGAGTTGACTTCATGGCAACTTTTTTTTGTTTGTTTGTTTGTTTAATTTAAAGGTGGAAGCCACAGTCAAAGTTTACACTTGGAATAGTTTTTTTCCCTCCCTGTCCCTCATCTCCCAGCAATGGCTGGGATAGGAGCTGCCTAGTAAGGTATAGGGCCTGCATGCATTTTATGACTCCTCAGTCATATGTTCAGTCTGTGGGTTTTTTTAAATACTGGCTTTGGAATGTGGTGTTCAGGGGTGAAATAGTTTCACTGTCTCTCACAGAAGAGAAAGGAGCTGTGGGTTCATGGAAGTGTGCTTGCTATGTTGGAGTTACCTCAGCTGGTTAGCCTGGACCTCATCCATCTCTGCATTCCCCCACCCAGTTCTGTAGGTTTTGTCCATGAACTCTGGTTGGTCCTCCATTAGGAGTCTTGGTGGCACAGTGGTTAAGTGCTCAGCTGTTAACAGAAAGGTCAGTGGTTTGAACCCACCAGCCACTCTATGGGAGAAAGGTGAGGCAGTCTGCTTTGTAAAGTTTACAGCCTTGGAAACCTTATGGGACAGTTCTACTCTGTCCTGTTGGGTCACTAGGAGTCAGATTCAACTCTGCGGCAATGGATTTTGTTTGCTTTTGGTCCTCCCATGGTGAGAAGTAGGAGAGAAAGTTGTTATTAGAGTATGTAGCATGAGAGTACATCTGGTCTCTCCTCTGAGGTTAGATTTGGCTTCTCCTTTCCTTTCCCCCTTCTTCTAAAAATGCAATTCAGAGTTCATGGAAAGGGATGAGTTGGAACAGTGGCTGTGGCCTTCCTGGGGAACCATGGCTGACTTCCCTTCCTAAGGCTTTTTTTTTTTTTTTTTTTTTAAATTCCAGATCAAAGGGATCCTAGGATGAGAGAGTATTGGCCAATGGTAAGGGCAGGGGAGAAGTCCCACCTTGAGTATTTCTTAGTTTAGAGAGTTTTTCTGTATTTACCTGAACTGGATTGCTGTTAGCTGCCTTCCTGTTGACCCCTGACTCATGGGGGCCCCATACTCTGGCTCTGGTGATCAATAAGGTTTCCACTGGCCGATTTTCAGAAGTGAACTGCCAGACCTTTCTTCCAAGAGTGTTTTAGTTTGGAATCTCCACTGAAATCCCTTCAGCATTGTAGCAACACACAAGCCCCCACTGACACAAGGGTGATGGATGTGTATTGAGTGCATTAGCCAGAGGGTGAAGTGAGGTCTCCTGAACTGGAGGTGAGAATTCTACTGCAGACTGTCAGGAAAACTGGATTAGCTCTCCTTCTCAATCCTGGCTGCTGCCACTTGTCCCTGCTTGTCCCTGGACCCTGTTCTGTGAAACAAGCAGTCCATTCTCTCCATTGACAGGTTCTGGCAGAGCATTCTGGGTGCTCAGGTGAACCGTTAATGTGTATCAGCTTGGTCCCTCCCCAGAAACCTTTAGGGCTGTAATAAAATTCTTTTAGAACCTACCTTACAACTTAACCATATATGTTGGGAAAGTAAAGGGGGAGGTGGTAGTTACTTGCGGTCACACTTCCAATTATGCATTGTGTTCACTGGTATGTTTGAGCCCATTTTTGGCAGCTGTTGTTTAGAGCCTTCCAACCTAGGGGCAGGATATATTGGATGGTAATCTGTTGTGATCTATAAGATTTTCATTGGATGTTTTTCAGAAGTAGATTGCCAAGAGTTTCTTCTTAGTTTGTCTTAGTCTGGAAGCTATGTTGAAACCTATCGAATATGGTGACCCTGCTGGTATTTGAAATTTGGTGGCATAGCTTGCAGCATCAAAGCAAAATGCAAGCTGGGTGGTGGGAAGTGAGACAGAGGAGTGGAAAGGATGGCATGGCATTGGTTTAGTGTCCACTGGAAGTCCTGACCTACTGGTGAAAGACTTGCTGTTGGATTAGTAAGGCAATGGAGTCTGAGTTATGGGATGGACCCTCAGGAGATGCCCACTGGTCAATACAGAAGAGTTAAACTGTACAGTTGATTTATGCAGAGTCATTTGCTTATTGTTTTGAAACATTGGTTGCCTTCTAGCCTCTGGATCCAGCTACCAAATCCTAGAAGGACCCAAGAATGCAACAGTGCTGATGGGCTCAGAGGCCCACTTCAACTGCACCGTGTCACCAGGCTGGATGCTCATCATGTGGGCACTGAACAACACAGTGGTTCTGAGCCTCACTCCCAAGGAGCTCATCATCACAAACAACCGTTTCACCTCTTTCAGTTACGAAGTGGATGGTAACTTTGTCTCTGAGATGATCATCCATAATGTGCAGCCAAGCGATGCAGGACGCATCAAATGCAGTCTTCAAAACAGTGACCGGGATGGCTCTGCGTTCCTTTCAGTCCAAGGTGTGTATGCAAGTAGATCTGCACGGCCGGGGCAGGGGGCATCTGTAGCCCATTGTGTTAGATGTTGGAGGGCTGGAGGGACTTCAGAAGTTCATGCCAAATCTGATGACATATTATCTATCCTTTAGTTGATATGTATTTAGAATTATGCTGCCTGAGTAATGTTTATTGTTCTGTTTGTTTCTTCCCTGTCTTCTTTCCTTTCATCTCTCCTTTCCTTTTATTAAGACACTTAGAAAAGGATTACAATTATTTCCCCATGTAATGCATTTTAGTATCTCATATCTTTTCTGGAAATGTATCCTGGAATTTCCCTGATGCCAACTGTAGTCACTTTTCCTTGCTTTGGAGTCTCAGGATGGTGAAACAATGAACACACTTTAACTAACTGAAGGCTAGAAGTTGTAGTCCACTCAGATGTGTCTTGGAAGAAAGGCTTGGTGATCTGTTTCTGAGGAATCAGCCATTGAAAACCCTAGGGATCACAGTTCTAATCTGATCCACCCAAGGTCACCATGAATTGGAATCGACTCCATGGGGTGTGGTTTTCTTTGACTTAGATAGAGTTAACAATCATTGTCCCTTCTCTAATTTTTCATATACTACACTTGATTATATTTATTTGCCTTATATCATTTATTACCTTTGAAGGATGCTTTCACTCTCTCTTCTTCCTAACTGAATTTCCCCAGTTTTTTCTCTGTACCTTACCCTAATTCACAGTGGTTCCTATCATCAAGGATGTGTGTTCACCAAAAATGCCATCTTTCAGTAAAAAGAATATTTAAACATTATAGTAATGGATAACTTACTTTTGTATCATTAATGATAATTTTGATGGACGTAGTTACATAGTGGGGGGAAAAGATTCTTCACAATTATTTTGAACAGTCTTATCACAGCCTAATCACTTTGCATTCTTTAAAAGGGTATTATGTATTATTGATAGATGCATCAATGCTAAGAGAGCTCCTGATTTCCATGGCAACATCCTTTACGTAGCTCATGTGTGTTTTTGAATTTTTTTTTTTTTGTTATCTACCTATTTACTTGTCCAGTAGAAATTCTCAAAGATTCTGTCTGCAAATCAAATTTGATAACATTGTATAGAGATATATGCCTCTATTTTTCAATTTGCATTTTTATGCTTTTTTACTATGGAAATTCAGCCAAATTGCCATGATTTTCCTTTTCTGTGTCTTTAATTTTGAGTGATTTAATTAGAGATACAACAATATTTTATAAAGAAGTGATTTTATGAGGCTATTTAGGATTATTGGCCTAAGTTTTCATGACCAGATTCTTACCACAATAATTTGCAACATAAGGAAAGAACACAGGAAAAGGAGTCAAATGTATGTGTTCTGGCTTTGCTTTTATCAGGTAACTCCCTGGATGGACACTGAGATAGCTCAATTTCTTTGTCTCTAAAATGGTGATAAGATTTCCTTGCCCGCCTTACAGTTTTATTATAAGGGTCAAATGAAAAAACTGACTGAGATGATGGTTTGAAGACTCCAAAGACATATCTTATTTAGTTTACTGCATATTAAGGTGGAGAACCACTGTGGTGTAGTAGCTAATAGGGTGGACTCAGGAGCCTGACTACCCAGGGTCAAGTTCCAGCTTTATTACTTACTAACTATATGACCTAGGTCAGAATTTGTGATGACTTTGTACCCTAGTTTCTTCACCATAGGGCTATTGTGGGAGCAAGTGAGTAGGTGTATATAAAACCTTTATTTAGAATAGCATCCAGTTCACAGCAATTACTACGTAGTCATTCATGATTATTTATTGTGTTCCCAATAGGAGCATGACATTGTGTTTGGCCTTGATAGGTGACTTAAAGATGAATGGAGTCCCTGGGTGGTGCAATGGTTAACATGTTCAAGTGCTAACTGATAGGTTGACAGTTCAAGTCTACCCAGAGGTTCCTTGAAAGAAAGTCCTGGTGATTTACTTCAGAAAAGTCAGCCATTGAAAACCTCACGGAGAGCAGTTCTACTCTGACACATATTTTTCAAAAAAGTTGAATAGAATAAGACACAGTCCCTCACCTCAAGAGCCTCACAAGAAAAGTGGTTAAGATAAGTGCACAAATAATTGTGGTGCAATGAGGGTGCTGGCAAGTGCAATGGAAGCAACACAAGCTCAGGTTCAAAATGAGAAGGGAGATGAGAGAATCAGGAGAGCTTTCATGGGAAACCCTGTCTGGAAGGTGCCATTTGGGATTTGGCTCATGTGATTGTAGATTGTTCAGTCAGATGGGAAAGGGATAACGGAAAGAGCCCACCTGGATCAAGGAAACACAGAGTCAGAAACATGATTCTTTACTGCTATGCATATAGCACATCAAATTTGTTAATGCATGTGGTTTTTAGCATCTTTTCCCAAAGCCATAAATCTAAAGAATCATATGGGCAGTCCACTCTGGTGGTGTAGTGCCTAAGGCATTTGAATGTTAACCAGAAGGCTGGCGGTTCAAACCCACCAGCCACTCCTTGGAAGGAAGACTGGGTAATGTACTTCCATAGAGATACCTCCTCGGAAACCCAAGGACAGGTCGCTATGAGTCGAAATGAACTCAATGGCAGTGAGTTTTAACATGCCTTTTTGTATAATAGTAAATATTATAGCCTTTGCTTTTAGTGCAGATGAAGAACAAGCATCTAGGGAAGTTAGAGACACCTCCAAGGTCACACAGGAGGAATTCATAGAGTCTGGCTAGAACTCTGACCATTTTATCCTGGTTCCTTTGATCTGAATGATCTTTTGTTCTTAGTGGGATAAATGTTCTCTGGACAATAAGGTCTTCCTCAAGGGAAAAAGAATCTTGAAAGAGGAGGAAATACCCCATTTATTTTTGAAATTAATTATCCAAGGATTGGTTCCTCCCTAATTTATCAACAAACAAAATGAAAAGAGCTTACATAACTCCAAGTTGAATCATCCAAAAGCTATGTGAAAATTCTAGTCGTCGTCACCTTTGTATAATGTGTTTGTTATGCTACTGGATTACCTTTGTGAAAGCAAATGGGAATGGGAAAAAGTTGAATCCCAGAAGAAGGAAATGATTCACATTACTGCATTTTGTCCAGTTATCGTCCAGTCCACCAATTAATCACACATTAAATTCTGGGCCTATTGTGCTTTGAGGGCCACAAGGACGTTCTCATATTTAATGGGGCAGTATAATTTCTCTCCATTTCTGTCCTCTTAAACCTCTCCATCAAACAAAACAATTCACAGACAAAAAAATCAAAACAAACTTAGGAATAAACATAAAACTCTTTACCCAAAGGGGACAAAGCCTTCCCCTACTGATTGTTGTATTTACAGTAGTCCTTGAATTAGGAAAGAAGCCTTCCTTATTCCAAGAGAATATTCAGAAAAGAAATTCTTGGAACTCTAAAACTTCAGAATAAGGAGTTTGTAGAGATAATCTAGTTCAGTGTGGTACTAACAGTTGGCATGGTTGGCTGCTAACCAAAAGAATGGTGGTTTGAGTCCACCTAGGGGCTCTGGTAGCATAGTGCCTAAGGCACTTGACTGCTAACCAGAAGGCTGATGGTTCAAACCCACCAGCAACTGCTCTGAAGGAAGGTTGGGCAATCTACTTCCTTAGTGATTCCGCCTTGGCAACCCAAGGAGGGGTCGCTATGAGTTGGGTCCGACCTGATGACAGATAACAATAACAACAGAGGCACCTTGGAAGAAAGGCCTGGCAATCTACTTCTGAAAAATCAGCCATTGAAAACCTATGGCATGAAGTTCTGCTCTGACACACATGGAGGTGCCAAGAGTCAGGATAGACTTGATGACAACTGGTTAATTCAGTGTCATCTGGGATTATGGGGTGTCCTCCAGACCCTTTCAGGGTGGTCTGTGAAGTCAAAACTGATATAATAATAATAATAATAATAATAATAATAATAATAAGACACTAGATGTCTTTTCATGCTCATTCTCACAAGACCACAGAGGAATTTTCTATTCTACATTGGGGGAGTCTGTAACTCAGTGAACTCAGTCATTTTCCAAATGACTTATGTATAATGATACAAAATCATGCATGTCTCAGATATCAGCTATCAGATAGAGCAGTGGATTTTAATGTAACCAAGTATGAAAATTCCTTGCTTAAATTTCAGATTCCATAGTGTAAATACCCTGTAGGAAGCCACCACTTACCCAGTTTTGATATAGTTATCAAAGAAGAATATCAGCGATTATCTGAAAAGTTTTAAATATTACTCACTATCACAAATACATCTCTTTGAGAAGTGAGATTTTCTTTATATACTTCAAACAAAAGAATACATTGTAATAGATTGAATGAAGAAGCAAATATGAGAATCCAGCCAGACATGAAGGAGATTTGTGTAATTGTAAAACAGTGTCACTCTCCTTAATAACATGTTTTGGTTTAAAATTATAATTATTTTTCATAAAAATTTTACTGTATTAACATGGAGTGGGGCAAACCTTGTTATTTTTAAATTAATAGTATTTAAATATTTTAAAATAGGCAAATATTTAAAGTTCTTAGTTTTAATTTCAAATAGGGTACATATTCATAGATACAATCCACATAAATTAAAGGTCTTTGGGATCTTCAGTGATTTTTAAGATTGTAAAGAGTTCCTGAAACCATAACTGAACCATAACTTCTTAGTATCACTGATTCAGTCAGTTATCTCAGCTGAGATGTGGAATGACTTGCCCAAAGTAGTGGTGGTTTTGTGATGGAGCCAGGACTGAAAGATTATTTGATTATTCATCCCATGTTCTGTCCATTATACTATGCAACAAGAAATTTTAGAACATTTCAATATATATTTCTTTATGACTGTATCTTTACCAGAATCAGGAGCTCTGATGGCATAGTGCCTAAGGCACTTGACTGCTAACCAGAAGGCTGGCGGTTCAAACCCACCAGCCACTCCTCGGAAGGAAGGTTGGGCAATCTACTTCTGTAGTGATTCCACCTCGGCAACCCAAGGAGGGGTCGCTGTGAGTTGGGTCTGACTCCACGGCACATAACAACAACAGCAACAGCATTACCAGGATCAACCTTTAAGTTATTTTAGGAGTACTGGCCACATACAAGGGTTCTTTTCAGATGGTCTATTTACAGTGTGAATGTTGAAATACACAAGTGGTTTAATAAAAACTTTCAAATGATTTATCTGAGTAAGATATGATTTGGCTTAGTTATTATAATTGTATTAGATTAGATTTTGACTTAATTTGTAATTAGAAAAGTATTTTAAGACATCATTGAAGGATATTATGTTTTAAAATATGTGACCCAATACATAAAGAAATAGATGGATGAATGGAGAGAGAGAGAGAGTCAGAGAAACAGACAGACAAATTTGACTAACCAGATGCTCCTGGGTGGTACAAACTGTTAGTTCGCTTGTGGCTGGAAGGTTGGAGGTTTAAGTCCAACCAGAGGTGCCTCTGAAGAAAGTCCTGGTGATCTACTTGTGAAAAATTAGCCATTAATAACACTGAAGTGTACAGTTCTATTCTGACACACATGATTTTTAAGATTGCAAAGAGTTCCTGAAGCCATAACTTTGGAGTCAGAGTTGACTCCATGGTAACTGGTTTAACTCAATTCTAGGAAAAGATTGCTTCCCCTGAAGTTCTGGGGTGCATTCTCCTTACAACGGGAAGAATAGAAGGTTTCGGGTCTTAGGGTAGCCTGAGAAAATTTGCAACTCTGCTTCAGTCATTGTGTAGCCCCAGTGGTATGCACATCTGCATTCTTTTTCACATATCACTTATTTTCCCCTGCCTCCTGATTTTCTCTGTTTTATTTTCTCAGTAATTTTTTGTTTTCCAGTGAGCATCCTCACCTTCTCCAGGGAATTTAGCAGGTATAAATAAAGACACAAATAAAACCTGATTTAAGGTTTCCCAATTACAGTCACAGCCTCTTTCAAGTTGAGAAGGTGTCTCTCATGAATTGTGATTTGAAGCAAAAATGGAAAAAAAAAAAAAGAACACCTAGAACTGAGGGGAATTGCCATTCAGAATGTTTATCTTTTTTCTTCTATAGTTATGGGATCATTGCTCATTCCCAATGGAAGTCTTGTAGTCACTGAGGACAAGCCCTGTAATGTTACTTGTCTTGCGCTGGGCTGGGTCCCACTTCCAGATATTACATGGGCGATCAGTGTTCCCGTAAGCCATTCCAGCTATTACTCCTTCCCGGAGCCTGACGACCTTCAAAATGCAATGAGTATCCTCTCTCTCACACCACAAGGCAACGGGACTTTGACTTGCGTGGCTAATGCAAAGGGTCTGCGTGCTTACAAGTCTGTCGCTGTAAACCTTACTACTGTGATTGAGCCTTCCTTGGGTAAGTGAAACCTTGCTTTGCATACAATGAATTATTGTTCCATGCTTATATTTTATACGTCATGCTACTTAATCAACAATGCTGGGGAAAATTGCATGGTGACATTAATTTCAGGTAGGGGTGGTAATGAAGGCAAATTACCTGTACTGTCAGGTTAATGGCTGTAATTTTGTCTGCTTTTAAAACTCCATCTTAAAGCTCTTCTCCCTTTTCTGCCTACATATAAAAACAATGAAGAGTCTCACCAGTTATTTATCATAAAACAGTATCAAGTTCAGAGACAAACATTTGAATTGAAATTGTTTTCTCTAGTTTTTATCCATTGTCCTAGGCCAATATAGAGCAAGTCCTTCTAGTATTTGAGGATGGTTCTTAGGTCCTCTCAGATGCCTTCCAATCTCAGTGGAATGATGGTGTTTCTTTTTTCAACCCAGTAAATCCACAGTGTGTTGAAAGTATCAAGCCTATTTTATTTTTACCTTGACTGAATGACATAGCTTTAAAGTTTGATCCCAAAAAGAATCTGCTTTGGGGTCCTTGACATAGTGAAACTCAAACTATGCCCCTTCAAGTTGTCTGCAGAGGTTGCTGACTTCTGCGTCCACCTTGGCCAACTAGAAAATGGGAGCTCATCCTGCAGGGGTGTGCATCCCAGGATGGAGGGTGAGTTTTTCAAAAGAGGAAGGGATGGCTTAAAGAAGTGCTCTTCAGGTCATACAGCTGGATAGGGCAGAGCTGGGCTTAGAAGCTAGGAAGGGCTTTTCTCTTTGTTCAAAGCTTTTCCTACTACAGAAATGTCTTTATTTAAGACCTTTCAGATTTTGGACAAAACTACAGTCAAGTCAAAATACAGTTGATTCTTTTTATTCATGATAGTATATTCTATAAAGTCACTGGCAACACTAAATTAGCCAATACTGAGCCATTGTTCCAGGAAAAATACAGGGTTAGATTCCTGTATACCTCTGACCACAACATTTTTGTCAGTCTATCAGAACATAAGGAGCTCTGGTAGCATAGTGCCTAAGGCACTTGACTGCTCACCAGAAGGCTGGAGGTTCAAACCCACCAGCCACTCCTCGGAAGGAAGTTTGGACAATCTACTTCCATAGTGATGTTGTTGTTGTTGTTATGTGCCGTCGAGTCAGCCCTGACTCATAGCGACCCCTCCTTGGGTTTCCGAGGCAGTATCACTACGGAAGTAGGATTGCCCAACCTTCCTTCCGAGGAGTGGCTGGTGGGTTTGAACCGCCAGCCTTCTGGTTACTGCCTTGGAAACCCTAGGAGAAGTCACTATGAGTCAGATCTGACTCAATGGCATATAACAACATCAGAACATAACTTTGTTTTGGTGTTTTTGTTTAAAGACATCTTATTGAATACTTATTGTTGACTCATTAACACTGCACTCATGGCCAACAGTACTGTAACTCATGCCTGAATGAAGTTTATCTAGCACACCTGTTGGTTCCATGAAGCACATCCCAGCCTCCTTGTGCATGGGAGCACTAGACAGTACTTTGGGGCCATTTTGAAAAACAAAATCACCAATAAAAAAGTAAAAAAAAAAAAAAAAAAAAAGTGGCACTAAATAGACCATGAGAAGGACACTGGTTTGCAGTATGAGAGCTGATACGAGAAGGTAGAGTGTTGCCTTGATTGACCTCAGCTGGGAGCATGCACATTGGGCAACTCACATTTTTTTGCCTCTCTGACCATCTCCACAAAATGACCACAAAAATGCCCTATGTATGGAGCTCCTTGTGTATGGATTAGGGGGCTACAAATAAATGGTTTGAAATGGTTCATATTCACAACTACAGAATCTATGAATAATGAGGATCAACAGTAACAACAACAACAATAATAGTAAACCACACTATTGTACCAAGAACCAGGGAGTATTCTAAGCACTTTTCAAATATTCACCAAATTAACCTGCCCAACAGCCCTATGAATAGGTGCTGTTGTTCTTCCTACTTTAAAGGTGAGGAGACAGGGACACAGTATTGGAATCTGCTCATGATCATAGAACTACTAAATGGCAAAATTCAGCCCTTGAAATCTAGAGTCCGTAAACACATAAATGTCAATTATGCCCACTACCAATGGTCAGTGTGAGTGGCCACTTGAGTGGTATTTCTGTGAATGTATGAAAAGCTATTCAAAATCTAACCTGTTGTAAACACCAATTCTGTACCTTACACTGTTGAGGTTTATCTCAGTCAACACAGGCTTGTTCCCCCTGTGTATTCTGCCCCCACTGCCACCATCACGTGGGGACCTGCTCATGGCCAAAGAGACCTGCTTACAACAGAAATGAGTGCACAAGTGATGAAATGTTTCATGTAGAATATGGAGAATATGGAGAGATGAGTCTGTGGGGAGCTGGAGGCCACATGTCTTCTCCAGATGGAGACAATGATGCCAGCTCCAGCTGGTTATTGTCAAAGGAATGTGGACCTAGCACTGCCAGACTTTCCAGTTTTTCAAGAGAAGCTGAAAATCTCGATTTTATGTGAACTCCCCTGACTTTTAAATGTTGGAAACTAATTAAACATTTTTGTAACTCTTCAGGCCAGGAAAACCAGCAGGGGCTTGGCACTGTCCATTTGCCAAACCCTGCTGGAAAGTCTTTTTTATAAAAATGGGTCATAACTCAGTCAGTCTTGGATCTATGGAAATAGCCAAATGGTACCACAGTCAAAATTTATCTCACAAAGAAACAACTCACAGCCATTATTTTTCCCCTAAGCTCAATGAAACAAAACCAACTATAAGGGTTTCTCCCCTTTGTCTCTGTCATTTTCTGGGAGGCACTTTGCTCTGAAATAACAAACAATAGAGTGAGTCATTTGTTGGGGTAGGCTTTGCCTCTTCTTCTTCTTCTTTTTTTTTTTTTTTAATTTTTGTTGTGATTTGGGTGACAGTTTACAGAGCAAATTCATTTTCCATACAGCAGTTCACATATATTTTGTCTATGACATTGACTGCAATTTTCCACAATGTAACAGCTCTCTTCCCACATCCTGCCCATAGTTACCTCTTCCCTGTGTCCTTCCCTTCCATGCACTCCTGCCCCGGAGCTATCTCCCTGGGCATACACAGCTTTTCTATTCTCCCATGACTGATCTCTCCAAGGAGTGTACCTACCTAATGCGAATGTTCAGCTCATATGCCTGTCTTTTGTTTGGCTGGAGTCTTCTGCTTATTTTTCATGGACATTTATATACCTGTGTCTGAAGTGGCCCTTGGGATAGCTACTCCAGAGAAGCTTAGACTTGGTTTCAGTGGCTATCAAGGCCTTTGAGCTAAATGGTACAGAAATTTTTGTTTCTTTGATTTTAAGTCAAGGTTTTCTTAGCTCATTAAATTCAACAATATTCCATACTAAGACTGTACATGGAGATGGAACTAGAATTCAAACCTAGCTTTCTCTTTCCAGTTTATTATTCTGAATAATTAAAGACTTTCAGAGAAGTTGCAAGAATAGAACAGTGAATACCCATATACTTTCACCTATCAGTTATCAGTTGCTGTGGAGTCAATTCCAACTCATAGTGACCCATTTGTGTTCCTTGTTGTCACAAACAGTTAATGCTCTCAGCTATGAACCAAAAACTTTGAGATTCAAGTCCACCCAGAGATGCCTCAGAAGAAAGGCCTGGCAATCAACTTTCAAAAACATGAAACAAAACAAAACAGAACAGAACAAACTTACTGCCTTCGAGTTGAATCCAAAACAATCAATCATTAAAAATACTGTGGAGCACAGTTCTACTTTGGCACACATAGGTCACCATAGCCTTGATATCTTTACCCAGGTACACCAAGTGTACATTTTGCCATGTTTGCTTTCTCTCTTTTAGCTTTGTTTTGGTTTTTCATTGAACTATTTGAGAGTTAGATGGAGACATTATGACATTTTATCCTTAAATACTTCAGCATGTATATTATAAAAATAAGACTATTCTCATAATCTCAATATAATTGATAGAAAATTTAACATTCTACAATACTATTAAATAATAATAATAATAATAATAATAATAAACCCAAACTCACTGCTGTCAAATTGATTCCAACTCATAGCAACCCTTTCTTATGTTTCCAAAGCAATATCTCTATGAAAGTAGATTGCCCAGTCTTCCTTCTGAGGAGTGGGTGGTGGGTTTGAATCACCAGCCCTCTGGTTAGCAGTCAAATGCTTTAGGCACTATGCCATCAGAACTCTTATTACATGATATACAGTTCATTTTCATATTTTTCAGTTATCTTAAGAATGCCCTTTATAGATATATTTTTTTTCCTGACAAGTATCTAATGAAAGATCATTTCTTGTATTTGGTTGTCATCTTTAGTCTTTAATCTAGAGTAATCCTCCACTTTTTTTTTTTTTTGTCTTTCCCAATATAGACTTTTTTTCGAAGGGTACAGGTCATTTTTGCAAAATGCCCCTTGTCTGGAGTTGTCTGAGTTTTCTAACATACTTTGAAGGTAAGACATAAGTGATGTCATGTTGGCACATGAGGCCAATTTACTCCATCATTGATCAGTTGGTTAAGGTGGAGTCCCCAAGTTTCTCCAATAATAAAAGTCTGCTGTTTTGCCTTTATAAATTACACATAATCTGTCCTTTTCCTCAGCTGTCTTTCATCTAATAACATTTGCACCTACTGATAGCCTGAATCAATAACAATTGATTTTCTGCTTCTATCATTCTTTCCATATTTATAAGTTGGCATTCTTTTGTAAAGAAGAATCTCCCTGATCCTTTTATTCCTTTTCTTCCCCTCTCTTCTTTCTTCCTCTTTTCTTTTTTTTCTCTCTCTTTTTTTAACAGTGTCAGTATGAGCTCATTTTCATTCAATTTATTATCATCTATGCCTGTAGTTATTCATTTTGATGCTCATATAGCTCCAGATTTGGCCAGTGGGAATCATGTCAAGCTGGCTCTTATATTCTTTTGATACCTCCCCATTAGTTTTTGAGCAAGGATC